CGAACACACCACACCCAATGCTCTGCTCTTAACATTGACTCTCCATTGAATATGCAATCTATTTCCATGTGTCCACCCTAATATTCAAAACCCTCTCCAAAAGTGGCCTAAGCTAGATAACAGATCATCTCCCAGTTATTGACCATGACCACCCTTAACAGCTACATTCCACTGGAACTGCAAACCTGGCAACTGAGACGGACTCGTAAGCACCAACAGAAGTTTCATGGGAGCCAGATCCAGACAATGGAACCTATTCCTGCAAAAGCAACATGACAGTCAACTTCACAGCATATGGAATTAAATGCAAAACATTTCTTTTATTTAGCATTTTCAAAATAACTCTTCATACATATAAAGTCAGACACACCCACTCTCAGAAAAAATTCTACCACCTATTCAAGTTTTACAGCAGAGAAGAATTAATTTTTGGAACTGCTGTTCCTTCTTTTCATTCCTTGACAGGGACTCTGGCATTATAATCACGACAGACATTTTGTTTGATGGGAGGTACATAATCCTGTTAATTTCAATTATTTTCATTTTTGGGGGAGGGGATTGAGTCAAGTTTTAAGAGTATAAGGTCAGATATGAGGGTAGAAGCTGGCAACATTGGAAAGGGGTCTGACTTTGGACTTAAGTCAAGCAGGTGCTAACGCAGAAGTGTCAGATGGTGGTGCAGTAGATTTGTTTGCAAACACAGATCTTTACAGAAGTGTATTCTCCCCCAACCCCTTTAGCTCTGTGCCACACAAAATATAAAACCTTTACAAGACAGGCCTCTCATCCTAAGGCGTTCAGGTTTAAAACCACTGATGCTCCAAGTATAGCTAACAATTATGCTTCATTCTATGGACTTCTCTATGCTGAAGGGATACTGGATAAATCCGTAAGCATCAGAGATCTACTTTTCCCTGACCCAAGATTAAGCCTTCACTCCAGCTCTCAATTATTATACATATTACCATCCAGATTTTTACCTTAGTTTTTACATTCACAGCATCAACTAAGTTGATCTTGGTCAATCTACTTTTAGCTGGTGCTTTCTTCAGCCACTCTTTCCCTTCCCATGTAACTTTTTCTTGTGTGTACCACAGTGGCTCTCAATCTCTGGGCTGCAATCACCAGGGGATCACAACCATCCTTCTTTTTTCTCCCTTTCCTCCCCATTTTTTGTTGGTTGGTTTGTTTAAAAAAAAGTGTATTTTTAACCCTTATGGCTGGGAAGATAACCTCAAAAATCTGAGCCAAGTGTAAATTGATGCAGGAATGGCTGTCTGAGTCTCCAAACAGCCTGAAAAACAATAACTCCAAGAGGTATGAACTGCCTCATTCATCTCAATCAAGGCCATGGCGACTCTACAGTTCTGTGGTCATGGAATCTAGCATGTTTCCATGATGCCACAAAATGGAGCATTTTTTTAATATGGAATTCAACTTTTTCTAGCCACGTGTCCAATGTAATCTTTTTGTCTATCTGTCTTGCTTGGATCTGCAACTTCTCTTCAGCTTCAAAGGGAAGTTAACTTGATTACAGTGCCTGTTCCCTACACTGTTCAAGAGAGTCTGGCAACAGAGCAGTTTTTCCCACCCCTTCCTCACTTACCTCTCATGGGCTCAGCGCACGCATGCACACACACACCCCAGAATGCTTGTTAGCTACCAAAATTCTTCAAAGGAGCAGTCACAATAGCCGGCAAAGGATTCTGAGGCATGCATACAGAGGTTAAAAAGAGGGACAACTGAGCTCTTTGGAGACCAATCATCCATCTTTATGAAAGAAACCAACTGAATTATTCAAGCAAAAGTTACAGATTTACAAACCTATATGACTTAACAGCAGCAATTTTGTAAGCATGACTGCCCCCTGAGCATCATACTTTGTCATTGCAAATAATGAAAGCTGCTATCTTCATAACATGGGAAACACTGCAGACTGTGTTTCAAATGTCATTAAATGTTGTCTTGGAATCTACTGCTGTCAGTCAGTCAAAACACTTTCTCTTCATGATGCAGTCACCTGATGAATTTGTGACATGGCTGCAGATGTTTGGGAACAGAGCTTCTCAATACAACAGGATCAAAATACAGATGGGTCTTCTACCCAACTTTTAGCATTTGTTCGGTGCAAGTGAAAAGGGCTCATACATGAGGACTGCCAGTTTTTTTGGTCCACTGACAGGTTATGCTACAGGAGGAAAAAAAAAGAGAAGCTTTCTAACAATTGGCTCTTGCTGCTGGATTGGTATTGCTGTACTGACGGTGCCTGAGCTATGACAGGAACTCTCATAGAAGCCTTGGGACTAGAAGCCAGTCTCTTACTCACCAAACCATTTGAACACTTTGTTCAGTGAATACACTGAGAAGCTTTGGAAGTAAAGAGGATGCCAGTGGAACTGACAAAGGTACTATGAGACTAACAGTTTTGACCTTTATTAAGAGTTAAGCCCAATGCACACCTCCACTATTTTATGCAAAGAAATGGCAACATCAGCAGCTCCCCTTTCCACACCAAAGTTCACTGACTTTCTCATGGCAAAAAATCAATCATTTGGTTAAGCTCAGAGAAGAGCCAAGAATTTTCCATGTTGAACATTCCTCTACTCTTGCAGAATACTACACTGATCAGCACTGGCTTGCTTTGAATGCTTACCTCTAGAGACAGAACATGAACACTCAACTTGGGGGTCACAAAATGGGAAGTGGTGGTTGTGACCTACTGACACCTGGCATTCCCAGTACGAAAAAGGTTGAGTTCAACTGGTCTAGTAAGTATTCAACACCTTTTGGTCTAACACTGAATTCATGCAGAGTTACAATACTCCATTCAGTAATAACTTCTTTTCTCAAGCAAAGGGCTCTATACATTAGTATCTCTTTACCTGCACTGCACATGGCACATCATATTTAGGTTATTATTAATACATCTTTATTACTATATCTCATATAGCATCTATTCAGTTTTGGTCCCAATCTTCCAGACTGAGGATGAAGCTTGTTATTAACACTAAAAACTAATGTTTTCAGTCTCGAGCTTTGTAAGATATACTGCATAATACTGATAGTAAAGAGGAACTTAAACAAAAAAACAAAGCAGAGATACTTTGAGAATGAGTCCAATGTAATCAGGAAAAGTCCTCTGCTTTTGAGATCACTCTAGAAAAACAAACCCTGCATTCCAGTTAAGGAAGGAAAAATCACAAAACTGAATTTGCCATGTAGAAGTCATACAGCCTGTTGACGAATGTATCTTATTTGGATAATCTTCAAAAAATTCACAGGTGTGAAAACTGCCATTCCATTCTTAACAAGCATATACATTTGATTTACCAATTTCTATGTAAAGATGAATATTTGAAGAGGAGAACTAAAAAAATGGTTATAAACAATTTAGAATTGCTTACTCAGATGAAAATTCAGGAGAAAGGGTGGTTTTGTGGTTATGGCTCTGGCCTAAAATAGAGGAGAACTGAGTTCAATCCCCAGCTTTGCTACAGACTTCTTGTGGCACCTTGGACAAATCATTTAATCTCTGTTCATCAGATCCCAATCTCTGCTTGCATGCTGTACTCCTTTCTCCCATCTTTTGACCATATTGTCTATTTCAACTGAAAGCTCTTTGGGGCAGGGACCATTTTTACTGTGCTAGGCACCGTACAGAAGCATAATGGGGTCCCGGGCTCAGTTAGGGCTTCTAGCCCATAATATAATATAATATAATATATAATATAATATAATATAAACAAACTACATCATTCCCATCACCACTAGCAAGATGTTAAAACCCAAATTATACTACCAACACAAAGAAGTTTTTTTCCAAATCCATATTTTTAATTGGTGTACAGAAAAATAGAAGGAAAACCCAATGGAGGCTGAGAGCCAGCAAACAAAAGTGACAGGCAAAGGTAAACTACAAGCAGCAAGTAAAAAATTACACTAATCTGGCCAGAAACAGGGTAGGCAAAATCTGTATAAGGGCGCCTCCACCCTCTGCATGTTAGTCTCAGTGATTCATTCCCAAAATTAGAAAAAGAGAGAATCATGCAAAGGTCTCATAGCTGTGGGCCACAGGGGTAGAAGCCACACAAAGAACTTAAAACTGTGGAAATAGATGGAATAAGCCACAAAATTCAACAGCTCCAGAGACTTAGATAAATAAAGTAAGACAACGTTCAATAATAATACAAGCACAGGATTTGCCCAACTGGACCAGAACACTGGACCATCTAATCTAGGATTCTGACTCAGTCAATAGCCAGTACCTGATGCTTCAGAGAAGATAAAACCCTTAACACATACCATAACAACATACCTAGCTAAATGTGACACCCTGTAGGTGGAACAAGGAAGGAGAGCAGCTCCTCCCTGACTCCAAATAGCACAAATGTTACCAAAATTATATTGGGAGAATTTACTGGATACACTTGATCCTGCTTTCCCACCTCCACCATGGATCACCTAGCCCCCAAGACTGCAGCCTTACTGTCCAACCCCAAATCACAATGAATACCCTCAGCAAGGACCACGGTGTGTGTCTCACCCCCACTCACTGCTCCTCCCAGCTTACTCCCCTCCAGATCTGCCTCATCCCTCCCAGCCAGCCCCCTCGAACCACTACACACCACAGCCCCCTCACACAGCAAGTCTCTCTCCTCCCCGCTCCGGTAACCCCATCACACAACAGGTCTCTCCTCCCCCACAGTCCCCCCAGCCCCCGCGCGCAGCAGGTCTCTCCGCCTCCCCGTAACCCCTATAACCCCCTTGCAGACCAAGTCTCTCCCCCCTCGTAACACCTCCCCCCCCACACACACACACAGAGCAGGTCTCTGCTTCCCACCACCCCAGCCCCCGCGCGCAGCAGGTCTCTCCTCGCACACCAACCCCCCCGCACAGTAGGTCTCCCCCCCTCCCCCGCCGGTCTCGCCCCTCATCCCACCGCGCCCTGCTCCCCTGGCCCCCGACCCCCTTACGCGAGGCGCTTCCGACCCCTTTCTCACCTGCACCTGTTTGCGGAAGTGGAGCCGCCTCGCCACCTCCCAGCAGCAGCAGCAAGAGGAACAAAAGCCTGAGTCCGAGCCCGGGTCCGAGGGGCAGGAGCGACCCCCGCCGCTGCCCGCTCCCCCCGCAGCGCCCCCAGAGCCGCCACCGCATCTCGCCCGCTCCAGGCCCCAACGTTCAACGCCGGACACGGGGACTTGGCTCTCAGGGTCTCTGGCGAGCGCCCCCAGCGGCCGCTTCCCCCCTCCGCCACGGCCCGGCGGTCTCCGGCATCGGACCCCGCAATCCCCCTTCCCCTCACAGAACCCAACCGGCCCCCGCAGCCGCCGCCATCTTCCGGGCTACCTGACCGGGAGGGGTGGAGCTAATCGACGATTGACATTCCTATGCACCAATCCGCCTGAGCCTCACGCTCCGGAGGCGGGAGTAGGGTAAAGGACGGTGTTAATCCGTGTTTGGCAGTCCAACCCGCGCCGAGCAGGGAAGTGAGGAGGGGCGAACGCGGGATTGACAAGCAGCTCCGCCAATCAGTGTGCGATTCGGATTTGGCTAGTGCGTTACAAAGGGGCGGAGCTAACTCAAGACTACAGCACCGCAGATTTAGGAGGTGGGACTAAAAGGATGAGGGTGCGCAAAGAAGATTGGTGGGAGGAGGCGGGATTGTAGCGCCCCCTGGAAGGGGCAGTGAGAGCAGCGCCCCTGGAGGGAGGGGGTGAGCAGTACCCTCTGGGGAACCCCAGCTCCCTGACCCCTCACTGTAGCATGGGCTGCCGGGACCCACTGTCTGCTCGGGCCTCAGCTCCCTAGCTTGTGCCACCAACATGTCCCATCTGGTAGCTAGACACCCCCAGAGGTGAAAGTAAGACAGTACGGTACGGCGTACGCAGAGCCAGAACACCAGACAGGACCGGATTCCCCAGGCCTGCCATTTAAACAGACTGTGTTAGGTAAAATATCAAACAGATTTATTAACTAAGAAAGATAGATTTTAAGTGATTATAAGTAGTGAGCGTAGAGATCAAAGTTGATTGCCTAAGAAATAAAACAGATTCATAGTCTTAGCTTTATAAATTAAACAGGATTTGGGTCAAGCAGTGTCTCACCCTGATAGATAGTACAAACAAGTCACAGATCTTCAATACACAGGCTGGAACTCTCCTCCATTCCAGGACCACCTCCCCAGTTCAAAATCGTTGTCCCCCAGACCTATTTCCAGGTGTTGAGTTGTGGGGGGGAGTGAGGCCAAGTCATGATGTGACTCCCCTTCTTTTATAGTTTCTTCCAGCTTGCTGGAAAGATCTTTTGCTATGACGTGGATCAAGCAGCCTGCATTTTATATATACTCTCTCTGTGAAGTCTCCATTGTATACAGTTCCTGGGATAGTTGTTGGGAGTGTGGCTTCCCTTTAATGGACCATCAGCGCCTCTGGCTACTCCATTGTTGTACCTGAAAGGCTGGTATGTTGTGATTTTGGGAACACACACAATTTCAATCAGGGCCGGCTCCAGGGTTTTGGCCGCCCCAAGCAGACAAAAAAAAAGCCGCGATCACGATCTGCGGCGGCAATTCGGCGTAAGGTCCTTCGCTCCGAGCGGGAGTGAGGGACCGTCCGCCAAATTGCCGCCGAATAGCTGGACGTGCCGCCCCTCTCCAGAGCGGCCGCCCCAAGCACCTGCTTGCCAGGCTGGTGCCTGGAGCCGGCCCTGATTTCAATAACACATACATAGTAAAACTTCATAATCAACGATAGCACGTATGTTCAACAGATCAAGACTTTTAAAATGATACCTCACAAGTAGGTAGGTGATCAGATGTCCCGATTTTATAGGGACAGTCCTGATATTTGGGGCTTTTTCTTATATAGGTACCTATTACCCCCAATCCCCAGTCATGATTTTTCACACTTGCTATCTGGTCATCCTACTCACAAGGCATATTTTATACAAAACATATAATTATATGACAGTGGTGAATATGGGGGTTCCAGAGTGCTGCTTGGAGGTACAGAATGTCACACCCCAAAGACATCCCCAAAGACATCCCTCCCACCCCAAGGCCCCACCCCCCACTTGCTTCTTTTCACCCTCTGCCCCTCATTGTTTGCTGCTTCCCTCCCCCCACAGTCAGGAGGAACTCACTTGCACAGCCGGGGCTGGGAGATGCAACCACCCAATGCAGGTAAGAGACAGCCCAATCTGAGTAGGGAATGGTGCAGGTGATGACCAAGTGCCTCCCCCCCTCCCCCACCTACAGTAACTGACTTTGGGTGTCCAGTCAATAGATCTAACTGGACACTGTCAGGTCCCCTTTTTGACCAGACTTTACAGTAAAAAACCAGATACCTGTCCACCCTACCCCAGGCTACGACTGGAGCCTCCTCTGCTCCCTGTGGCTACATCACATTCTCTCATGTTCTTGCCAAAGTCTGTATTCCCAGGCAGGATCCCAGGGTCTGTTCCCCTAGGACTCCTCCTTGTCTCTCACCAACACCTCTCCTCTCTAAAGAGTGGGTGTAGAGTCCCATCCCTCCCGCTGCCCAGGTCCTCCCCCAGCTGGGTTTCATCAGCCATTAGGCCTTATCAGCCCTGACTCTCCTCCAGATGCAGCCTGTCACCGAGTTAATTGGCCTTTTTTTTAACCTAGTCAGGCCTTGTGTGCAGTAGACACCCCATCAGAGTGCACCTACTGAAGCACTGGGGATATGCAGGAGTCCCCCCCACACTTCATCTGAAGGGGAGGAGCCACCAGACCCAGGCATCATATAATTTTGGGAGGCAACAAATAAAAATCAAGGATCCAGAGGGGGACACTGAGCAGAGAGCGCCCACTGCTCCTCAAAGGCGTCCAGGGAGCCAGTAGACATGGCCTAGAGGAACTCTGCCCAGAGACATGACTTGAGGGAGGAACAAGAGAATGTCCAAAGGACAGTAATGTAGAAGGCATGTTCCAGAGGGTTGAGGTGTGATGCACCAGAACACCTGATTTTTGCATTATTAGTTTACCACTGTAATCCCTGAGGAGGAAGTTTGCAGTGGGTAACACCCTCAGTAAGTGGGACCAATCACAGTGCAGTACACAGAAAACAAAATCATAATAGTTACAAGGCTACGTACAACACAGACATAACTGTTGAAAACTAGTCAGTCATTCTTACCCTTAGGAAGTAGAGGAACTAGGTGGATAAGCAGTTCCTTTCACCCTAAAATATCTGGGCCTGATTTTTCTCTTACTCCCCAAGTGCCTTTTAAGTGTTCCCCTGTAGTGTCCAGCCTCATATCCACGGAACACTCACAGAAATAGCAGGTCTGCTGTCCCCAAGGAAACAGTGTACACACCAGCTTGTATGATTCAACTCAGGATCAGTACTTTGCTTAATATCACAGCACTTAGATATATTTACAGTGAAAACAAGGATAAGTTTATTACCAAAGATTCAAGAAATAGTGTGTAAGGATAATGTAAACAAAAGATTACATATAAAACAAAATCATAACACACTTTCTAGAGACTAAACTTAACAAGTTAACCTCCTGTCTAAAGAAGTTTAGCTCACCCAAAGCCTTTTGCAGCATCTTCAGCCAAAGCTGATTGTGATTCCATTGTCATGAATATAAACACACTGCCAGTTTACTTCCTAGGTGCAGGATAAGGGAGTATCCTTTTTGCCTTCTCCTTATATCTCCAAAGTTAATTGTATGTACTCACAGACAATATAACCCCACCATTGCTTGTTTTATCTATGTGCTCTTCCCTGTTGATTTCGAATGTGAATGTCCATCCATTGTGTTGGTTTACAATGCTTTATTCAACTGTCTATTTGGCAGCATGTAAATTAACATCTTTTGTCTGACTGAAAAACTGTTTGTCAACCCTGCCTTCACACAGACTTTAAAACATTTTCAGTATAGATATGTAACTTCCTACATAGTATCTGTACATACATTTGACAATGATGTTACTGACCAGAGTGACCCTGGCTTTCATTTATGACCTCGCATGACATTCTTTGGTAACCAGAATGTACATACCAGAATCAGGATATTCTTGTACCCCTTTAGCAGCACGGAGGGGGTTCTTGTGTCACAAGGACATCTGGATTGGGCCCCTTCTGTCTCCTTCTATCTTACGTTGGGTCCACATTTTCTATTATTATCTATTTCTATTTTCATTATTATCCAGACTATAGCACTATCATTGCAGATGTGATAAAAGACCACATCTACTACATATTGGTGTAGGCATGTCTAATGTGCCAATCGCCATAGTATCTAGGTGCCTACATACAATAGGATTATAGATACATCTGTAGCCATTTCATAAATTTACAATATAAGGGTGTTCTCATTTCAGCAGTGAGACAACAAGCAGTTAGTGTTCCTTAGATACAGCAGTTACATTTATTTCACAATCCACCTATCATAACTGAACATCGGGCCTTTAAACCAGTAAGATGCCAAGTTACAACAATATCCTGGGTGTTATGTTAGGATATCATCAGAGGTACTAGTCAGAGTGCAAAATTTCCCAGTGCCATTTTCTAATTGTGATACAATAAGGTACTGTGAGTCAGAATAAAGTACACAGTGAGTCAGTAAAGCCACGAGTAGAATAAAGGAAATCTAACTCCCAGTCCCATGCTTTAACCACTTGCCCATGTTGCTCTTTGCCTTCAGAAAAATAACTATCAGAGTGACAAAGATGCAAAAATCTACCCTCTTACCTACTATCACCAGGAATTGTACAATCTACCTACAGATGTTTCTGCAGTGAGACATTTGTAGCAACTATATTAGGCTAATACAATGAGTAGTATTATGACAAATAGTCCAGAACACACTTAAAAATTAAACATTTCCAAACATTTATGTTTATTAAAATGAAACAAAAATCTCATCCACAGAATGGGATATACAGTACTCAATAGCACAGCCTCCTGTTTCTTGATTATGCACTGTTAACATCACCAATTTGCTGTTGTGTGTGGGAGGTGTTAAAAACCTTTTTTTAGAGAGAGATAATTGGATTAATTGAGGGATATGTAGTGTTTTATTTCTGGCAGATTTTCTTAAATGCTTCTGATAATGTTATTGGTTTGGAAGGAGTGTTGTCTACCAGCTAGAGCAGAGAACTGGGAGTCATGAGTGCCGGGTTA